TCCGATTCGCGATAAATAAGTTTGACTTAGTGCGATCCGTTGTTGACGTTTTCGATTTTTCACCTGTGGACTTTTAAGGGTAGGTAGTGGGCTTACTGAATCATTCTTTACAAATTAGGCTCGGCCTATATATGACGCATGTTTATTATTTATACTTTTGATACGGTTATATCGAAGTGTATAGTTGTAGCAATTTATGTCTATTTTTTCTAGCTGGGGCATGGGGCAGTTACATCTATGTGATTATTTTTTGCTCGATTTAATAGCGAGACGTCCATGAGATATTGATCGTTTGATTAATACTTATAAAACTGTTTGTTATATATGTTTTTTTGTGGCTCAACCCCAAAACGAAATTGCAAATTACATTTAAGACATAGCATATGTAACTATAAAAAGCATTCTTGTTAAAAAATGTGTAAAGATGTTTAGAAGGTCAATTTTGTTGCAACGATGAAGGCTTCGAAGAATTTATGTAATTTCGGAATTCAGATTACGTCTATTTATTTCTTATTAAAAAGCGTTTATTTGTTTTTTAACTAAGCAGACAAAATTATGGTAAAAATTTTTTGTTCTACCTACAGTCGTCTAGGCAAATATTCTTTTTTATTGTATCTACGATGTATAAAAACAGATTAGTTCCAAATTACTTTTATATTATTAATTAACGGTGAAATTTTTACTTAAGTAATATTAAATTGAAAAACAATAATTAAAAAAATATTCCACACAACCATCTATAATATTACATAAAATAAAATATTAATATTCAGCGAATGATTCTAATACTAGATCCGGTATAATTTTGATTAGCTTTATAATTTGCAATTTGATCACACGGTTATTATACTTTTAATAATTACTCTCGCTTCTTTATTACGTTTACAGAATTTAGACACTAATATAATTATAATAAAGTGTTATTTTAATAAAAACATTTTTACGTCTCATTTTTATCATTATCTAATTAAAAAACTTTAGACAACAAATTACAATCTTTTAATATAATATTTAATAACAATTATTCTTTAATATTAATATTCTAATCTTGTTTTTGCATTAAATGTAATTACCTATATTGTTAGTACTTACTAGTCATTCATTTTAAATTCATTAAAAGATTGTAACCAATTATTATTATTTAGTCTAAAAAATATCAACCAACATTATTTAAAATAATCTATAAATATACACTATGTAAAATGCCAATTACTAATACTTAAATAAATAAGTTGCGCGATGCGCGTTGATGTCTTTTATACTGAATCACAATTAACAATGTTACAACTCGCTTATGTAACGTTACGTTACCTCTATTACCTAGTCTATGGCATCTAATATTGTGATTTAGTGCTTTACATATAACCTATACTTATCTTATCCGACGTTTTCGTAAAAGTGTTTTAATATAACATTTGTAATATTTATATACTTCAAATTTCTCGAATTCTCTATGGACACTAATAGTTTACAACGTAGTTTTCATGGATATAATAAATAAGCCAATTGTTTACCTTTTGTACCTAAAGTAGCTAGAATAGTTAGTTTTACATAATTTATGATTGGGTTTTCTTGGGGGCAAAACACATTTTTGTGTCGGTTCCATCGATCGAAGTAATTAGTCAGAAAATGTCCTTCCAAGCAAAAGTATTATTTAAATAAGATTCAAACGCACCATCTTCCACGGTTTTGAGCCTAAAATTTAATAAGTCCTTTAAAATTTCAATAGATTCAAACGTCCAACTAGAAGGTAATTTGTACTTATGTCAAAGTACAAATAAATACGAAAGTCTCAATAATTATCGACAGATGACATGTAAGAATATTTGAATGAAAAAGTATATTTTAAACTTTCACGTAACAAAGAGCAAATGTTTCACACAAGTTGCGAAGTCAAGGGTCAACTGGCTGAATGTACTTTAAAACGGAGGCTTCGCTTCCAAGTACCGTTCAATTGTTGTCAATTATTAGGAATAACACAACTGTCACTAATGAGTGACACACAATTAAGATTAAAGATGCTACTTTTGTAATGAAAAGACAGCTTTATATTGGAAAATGTTTTATAATTTCATTAAAACTACTTTAACCGTTTAGAAGTAAGAAAAGATTTGAACTTAAGATAAATTTCTTAAGTTAAATTTTCAATAATTAGACATAAAACTAAAGCGTTAACCTTAGTTAAAATTGTTCATGTAATATTTATGTATAATAGAACGGACAGATAAAGTGGGGTATATAAGAGGAAATACCACAACACTATAAAATTCTAAGAGATGGGCTAAAACCGAAAGATTAACTTCACGTATTTTTATTCTGTGTGTTCAATCATGCCCTTATGCCAGATACGAAGTTCAATGTAAAATTATGAATTGATTAAAATTATATTAGACCCGGTGAGGATTGAATCTACGACCTGTCGATTTTTAGACCAACGAGCTTGTCAAATATGGAATGACTTCTTCTCAGATTCATAGATATTTTTTGCTATGAACGAGTACCTGTGGCCTGAAGCCAATTAAAAATTATAAAGATCTATAAAATGCTAAAACACCATAAAGTAAGTTTTCACGGTTCATAAACCGCGAACAAAGAATCTGCTCGCAAGGTTCGCCGGGCGCACGATAAACTGTTACAATTAAATGATACCTGTTCTAATTCGCATGTTGCTAATTTATAATAAACAACCTTCGTTTGTTTTATACAATATATTTCCTGACATTGGTTCACTGCGCTGAAATAATATATTTAGATCGGTGTTAAAAATTCGGTGTTTTGACGAACGTTGGTGTAAAGGTAGCAATGCAAGAAAAAATAATTATTCAATTAATTTTTTTTCTGACATGTTGGTTTTTGGTTTGGAATATCGAAATTCCGTCCGGATCACGAACCACCTGCCTCGTTGGTCCTACCATAGCTAATGATAACTAACGGGTAGTAAGATTTAATTTTTACCTATTCCATACAAAAAAAACAGGTAGGTGGGAATTTTGAAATTCAAACTACCGTCCAAAAATAAAAGACAATTGTATTATAATATGCCAATAAGTACGTTCGTAAAATAGTCAAAAATTACTATCCAACTTCACAAGGTTTTGTATTTATAATATTAATAGTTAAATTAATTATTCATTCTAACAAAATTAAGTAGCAAAAAATACATTATTTTTAACTATCGCCTCTATTAATTAACATTCAAACAAACAAACTATTCTGGTTTATATATTAGTATAGATTCAATAGATATAGCCAATATAACATTATTTAAGTATGTTTTCAAATAAAACACTTTAACGGTTTAAAATGCGATATATTTTATGTATACTTGTTTGAAAATTATTATTAACTACGGCCCGACGTTTCGGATGCCTTGAAACAGCCGTGGTCACGGGGGGACTAAAGGATGCAGGATGTCTCTGACGGCAAAGTAACAATATATCGCGTTTTAAACCGTTATTGTTTTATTTAAATGTGTACTACTCGCGTTAACTACAGGCAGTATTTCGTATATGCTTTTTTCTTATATTTGTAACGAGCGTCATAGACGATAGCGGGAATCCTTAGAACCCATGGTTGCTCACGCGCCGATTGCAATCTCTAAGAACACAGTTCGTGACTAATAAATACAGTTGTCGAAATTTTATTCTTTTAATCATTACAATCTTTACTTGCTATCCAAGGTAATATATACAATTAAAAACAAATGAACGTATTAACAAAATCCAGTGTAAATTTTGTAAAAGCCTTTTAATTTGTAGTAATTAATTGTATAGTTTAATATACGTAGAGCAAAGATTGTATGTTTTTCGTTGTGGTTTGTAGTCCCTCTGTGTCTTCGCAGTGATGGGCTCACTGGTCTAATGGTAGCAATGGACTAATAATCAACGGGTCGAGGGTTCTTTCATAATTTTTCTGAAACTTGCTGGACTTCGTCTGGAAATTCGGATATTAAATAGTCCACAGACATTTTCATACGAATCATCAAATTTAAAGCCAAAAAAGGTCGACAGCACATCTTGTTTAGATGCTATATAGGCTAAAATAATATAATATCATTATTTTAAATATATTTAGCGCCCCTACTGTTGTCATATACATACTGTGGCCCACGTCTGGTGCGTCGGTAATCCCATTGTTATGCAACGATCAAATATTGCCTTCGCTATGACGTCTGCGAATTCGCTTTGGAGAGGCCATTTTTAAATAGAGCATGAAAAGCTAATAAAGATTGTTGTTTTATTGTTATGAATTACTTTAACATATTGTGTACTTACAATAAACGCTGGGTTACCTAATGATAATGAGGTGAAATTCTGTACCATTTTTCAATAAAACACTTTAACGGTTTAAAACGCGATATATATTAAGTTGAACTGATTTTATCTACATTTTAATAAATTTAAGACGCACTTAATTTACAATGCATATTTAAAGAATAGTTAAGTTTAAGTTACACTTTGTCTTATTTGTAGAAAACGACTCCTAAACAATTCTGAAATTTTCTTTCTTCATCTGCCACAAAAATGTGTTTTTGAACGGATAATTATTTACGGACAATTATATGAGACTTATAATAAAGTCTACCCAAAACGACCACAACAACTTATCGTTTTATCGGTGTTCACTTATCCCAGGCCCTTTCGTGGCTAAAACGATACTAAACTATTTTGCTAGGAAATACTTAAGTATGAATATATATTAACTAAATCGCAGTTTTAAGTTACACTGTACTTTTAGCTCTCAGTTTTTCTTGTATCGTAACAGGACTGTTCCAATTTCGAATTTTCCTGTTCATACAGTACTAATGCCATTGCGTTTACTAGTTTCATTGTAATACGTGGCTCACATACATAACGCATAATAAAATATTATGGGCCCTTTCAAGGATGTGTTTTATGCTTTTGTAATTGGCCTCTAGATAGAGGAAATTTCGAAAGCAATTTGTACCATATGTAAAGGAGAGTTTTTTACTTAACATTTTTTATTTTACAGATTTTAAAATGGCGGCAAAAATCAAACGGCTGATATTACATCTTCGCATATTTTTTATGGTAAGTATTTAATTTGGGATATATTTTCTAATATTGTGTATGTGTGTTTTTTATAACCTGGGCGCACTGACAAAAAAACGAATATTAAAGAGGTATTATTTTATGTAAATTTTAATGATTTTTTTAAATATTTCATTCACATTAGGATAATCCTGTAAATAAACAAATATGTTTCCGCTTATAGAAGTCGTTACTATATTAATTTATTAATAATGTTTTCAAACTAATTTAGAAATTGAATTCAAAACGATGTTAGCAAATTATACTTTTAAAATGTTTTTCGTTAAGTAAGTTGATGATTGCTATTTGCAAAGTTAATGTCAAAAGATACTGGATATAATATATTTCTGCGCTATTTATATGTCAAATGACTAAGATAAAACTCACGATAATTACAGAGACATTATTGACAAATAAAAAACCAGATTTTTGAAAATTTCGACCATTTTATGATTGAGTAGGACAGACATGGCATGGGGTTGAACCCCAAGTCAACTTGATAGTAGGTTATATGCCTTTATCATCTAAACAAGACGCTCTATCGACCTATTTTGGTTGTAGATATTCAGAAATCTACAGACTGAAAGCAAAACGCGCTTGGCTTTTTCATCTGTGGACGGTGGTTCGTGACCCGGACGGAATTTCTATTTTCCACCCATTTAATATCCAGATTTCTAGACGAAGTCCAGCATGTTTCAGAAAAATTAAAAACATTTTGAACCTGGCGGCGAAAGAACCCACGACCCGTTGACCATTAGCCATACATTGCTAACAACAAACGACGCCACACAACGAACCCGTCAATAATAGCAAAATTCTCTCGTATTTAAATCATCACGCGGTCAAAACTTCCACAAGCGCGGTCATAAAGATGCACAGATTATATAAAAATTTGACACTAATTGGAGACCTTTCCAATCATTACTCAGAGAACCGTTATTTGTTTTGAATTGCGGCCGACGATTTCTGATCGCATGTTATACATAGCAGGCCATGCACTGTACTGTTGTTTACTGTGTCAACACAGTCAGCAATGTATGGCATTGATTACAATAAAGATGTACTTGCGTAATACATACCATGTACATCTTGCATTAGATACGTTAAAATTGATGGGTTCGCACTTTCCAGCTATTAATTTACTTTTCACTTTTTGCGTACGTAATTTGATGGATTATTTTAAGCCAGTAATGACAGAATCTACTAATGAGGTAAATCTAATAGTAAGGTATAGAATTTGAGATTATTTTCGGCGATCTAATCACTGTCAAATAAAATGGATGGATTACATATTGTCTGTAATTCCGCGAGTAGTACACAGTAAAAAAGCACTTTAACGGTTTACAACACGATGTATATTAGTTAAACTTATTTGTAAATTAGATTAATTACGGCCCGACGTTTCGGATGCTTTGCAGCAACCGTGGTCACGAGGGGACCGTCTCCCCGTAAACACGGCTGCATATTTATTTTAATTTATGGATTGTGAAAAAGGCAGTTGTATTATAATCTACATCGTGGTAGATTAGTTTTATAATAAAGAAATTAAGAACAAGCTTTTGCTCTAATTCTATATTCTATTCTCAAATCTATACTAATATTATAAAGCTAAAAAGTTTGTTTTGTTAGTTTGAACGCGCTAATCTCAGACACTACTTGTTTGAAGTGACTTTTTTGGCCCAATAGGAACAAAATTCAGTGAGAAATGTGGGAAAATCGCATTAGAATAATCCTGTTAATGTTAAATTTCTTTAAGTAAATATTTTAGTCTTTGGCAAATTAGTCTCTATTTTAATATAATATGACCTATATTTCCAGTGAAGCAATCAGCGGCAGTAAGCAGTAATGTGTCGCTTAAGACCGTTTGAGTCACAAGTGGTCTAGCTATTGCACTGTCGCCATGTGTCAAGTACTGACGCAATAAACCACTAAACACTTATTTGATGTGTACATTCTTTGAAGTATTGTTAACACCACTGCACAACCGCGGCCCGCGGTGTGGCCTAAGTTACTCCCTATGTCTGTCCATCAAAATCCTATCAAAATAGATTCAGCCATTAACCCCTTAAAATACTTTTTAAAGAGAAACAAACAATTCCTGCAAATTTGTGGAACTCGGTGCAGTAATTTAAAACCAAATAAAAATAAAAATAGGTAAAAATACTGTTTAAAGTTTAATTTTTGTCTAGTTTATGCATATGTTTATAATTCCCACGACTGTTTCTATTTTATTATTTTTTGGTTTTTAGTACAAACTTACGTCATAAACATAAAACCGTTTAACTTAAAAAGTTTTTTTACCTATTTTTATTTTCTAGTTTTTAGTTTTTATTTCGCATTCTGTTTAATTCATTTAACGTTTGTTGGTACTTGTTGAGCCCTTTCATTTGATACCCATATTGATGGGATTGATAAAACCTAAGTTATCAGCTATTTTGTAGCGGCCGCCATATTGGATTTATAATGATAATGAATAAACATAATTGTATTGTCAAAATTTCAGATTAATCAAAATAAGTTTAACTAAAATATCGCGTTTTACACCGTTAAAGTGTCTTATTTAAATCAGTATAGATATGTTTTTGAGTGGCTTATGGTAGGTAGTAAATAAATTTCTTTCTTTATTCTATTTCTACACTACAATTTGGAGTTTCGTTTCTAGAAACATATTTGACAGATCGGAAATCATCACCGCGGATTCTTGTTTATTTAATTAATGCGACATTTAGTAATTACCAAAGCAGGACTACTTATGTAACTGGTTGAACACGTGTTCTCACATTATGTGAAGCGACCTTGATAATGATATTGCCATTGAAAAGGGGTTAAGCTGAATATTATTCAATTATGTGTTGTATGTATTTGAATAATTAAACGAAATAAACACAGCAGCTCAATTGGTTAGAGCAGCAGGATGACAAGCTGTGGATGCCGGTTCATGTCGCGCCAGAGTCATAATTTTTCTCTAATCTAAATAGATTTTTAAATAAAGAGTGTTGTCTAAGGTTTGAATCACAGCCGTAATTATAATTATTGCTTACAAATACAATTAATTACTTAAACGGCTATATAAATGTCTGTCTTGTATAAAAGTAAAAGGTAAAAAATATATTTAATTAAAAGTAAAAAATATATTTTTTTACCTGGGATTTGAATTGCAGTCCAGTCGTTCTTAACGTATTGGTAAGCAATACGTTAAGCACCCGCACTTAGGTTTTAGAAAGGTTTAGTTCAATTTATTGAAGAATGATTTTCAATTTTTTTTAATGATTTCCGTTTGCCCCCATTGTGAATAAATGTCTGATTTCACTGATCGCTTTTATCCAGCAGTTGATCAGAATTCTGTGCTCCGTCCGAAACAATCTATTGTTTCCCGGGATTCTAACCATAAGCACCTACAGCTACATAAGGCTACAGAGGCGGTCATTTATTATGATAATTACATTTATTATACATCTTAATTAAACATACTTTTTTCGTATATCCCAAAAGACGAAAAGGGACTTCTGGATCCGTTGACGATCGAACTCGCGACCCGATTCAAGTAAATCCGGAATACATGATTCTGCATTTTTTCGCTAACTTTTACTACACATTTGGAGATTATGATGTATACTTTCATTATGAAAGTGCAAACTTAAATGGCGTGTTATCGAGAACTCGTTTAAACAGATCAATTTTCGACCTTTTTATACATTTTAAATTGCAGTGGTCGTTATATCGAGTGATTTTTGGGTCGAATGGAATTTTTCGATAAAAACGAGAATAATGTTCTTAACTAAAAGTCTCGTTTTTGATCCCTTTATAGCGAAATGGTTAAACGTGTTGCCTAGCATCGCGTTAAGCGAGAGGTCCTGGGTTCGAATCCCAGGGAAACATAAATTGTTTCGGTCCGGCAGGGCACAGAAGTCTGATCAGCTATTTGCCTGCAAATAAAACCGATCACTGAAACGGATACAAGAATGTCTTCGCTCCATGCCCCATTTGGAAACGAGGTTTTGCTTTATGATAATAAATTAAAAGTTATTCTAGAATTAGCTGAACACGAAACGTTAGTAAGCTAAATACCTGGCTTTCGTAAAAATGTCTGTTGAAAAAAAAATAAAAAATTACGACTCGGGCATCCACAGCGTTCCGTGCTGTTGCTGACCAATTGAGCTACCGTGGCCTACACGTCATTTTGCCAACCTTTTGATACATGCATCTCTCGAACGTAATTACAACCTTAACACTTACGTATTGAGGTTTAAATATTTCAACTGTAAGCAAAAAGTAAAGACATTTGTCGTATTATTATGGTTTCGAGTTTTTTCAGAATTATGTAGCGTTAGCAACGAAAATGTAAATGAACGAAAAATACTTGGAACATCTTTAGCCAAAATAGACATTGTTTGTGTGAGGTCAACTTTTAATGTTGTAATTACTATTTTATATTGGTATATTTTTTTTATTTGTGAATGCAGCTCTACGAAGTTCATAGATACTAATTTTATAAAGTTTGTTCTATTAAAAGTGCAATAGAACAAAAAGCCTTTAAATAATTAGGTTTAAATAAAACACTTTAACGGGTTTAAAATGCGAAATACTTATCAAGAATTAGTGCTGCAAAGCATCCGAAACTTGAGTTCGAATAATTTGTAAATAAGTTTAAGAATATAATTCGGTTTGAAACCGTTAAACTGTTTTATTTATTTATTTATTTAATTATTTAAATGCATGTCATAGTGTCCCAATGGAAGAGATCTAAAAACTAAACAATATAATTATATATGATAGAACAAATATATATGAACTTAAACCAAACTATCGTTCATAACTCAAAATAAACTTTAATGTATTTGTGAGTTCACCCCAGGACTGTAAAAAATATCGCTTTTTTGTGCAAAACATTTAGACCTCGCCTCTCCATTGTGCCTTTGCCATTATTCTTCTAGCAAAAGGCACCAGAGAAGAGGTGGCGCATGTCTTTTCCCTATAGCAGTCAGCACGTTTATGTTAAC